AGGGACCCAGGACCCCCTCCTGGCCCAGGACCCCCTCCCGGCCCAGGACCTGCGCTCGGCCCAGGACCCGCCCCCGGGGCGGCTGCACGTGGCCCTCATCCTGGTCCCCATGCTGCTCTGCGTCCTGGCACTGGGAGGCCTGCAGTTCTGGCGCAGGAGCCGTGGGCGCCCCCCGCACGTTCAGTTCCTGTAGGTACCAGGCCCGGCCCTGGCCGGTGGCTGGGCGGGAAGTGGAGGGAGTGCAGGGCCCCAGAGGACCCCACCGGCCACCGGCCCCCGCTTTGTCCCCAGGACACCCTGGAGGGCAGTATGGAGCTGGACTTCCCTGAGACCCGGGACACGGGCACACGCATACACGCGTGTCTGCGTGTGCCTAAGCATGCACAGCCCGGTCGCTCACGCCCCCTCCCTCCCTCCCCAGGTGAGGAGGCGGTGCCCATCCGGAAGGTGAGCAGGCCCACCTGGCCCTGGAATCCAGCCCCTGAAGCCACACACCCCCAAGCTGCCGACACCCCAGCAGCGGAGCCTCCTTGCGCCCCTGCCCCCAGCTGGTGGACGGATGCCTGAGGTGCCCAGGGAGGCAGGACCCATCGGTCGGCTGGCAGGAGACCTGGCCGTGCGCAGGGGCCTCCAGCGAGGGAGCTCCGTGTCCCACCCAGGACGGTCCCTCTGGAGAGCAGGCCTGTTGGTCACTCACAGCAGAGCCAGGGGCCAGCCCTGCTCCCCCTCCCTCTCGGCTCCTCCCCCATCGAAAATGTAAACACCTCAAGCTCCAAAGCCCTTGCCCTAAGGAGACCAGCCCCTCCTGCACCCCCCTTCCTGGGCTGGGGAGGGGGCTCCCGGGGACCAGCTGTGCCTCCAACACGCTCCAGGCTGGTCTGCAGTTGACCTTGTGCGTAGTCTTTGCTTGACTCCGAGCAGGAGTAAGTTTTGGGGACCCTCCTGCCACAACCACTCATCCAAGACGGTGGTTAGAGGCCCGAGACGCTGTGTGCCGCCTCCACCACGAGGGGGCGCACGTCCCTCTGGAAAGAGGCCGGCCGGCCGCTGCGGCGTTAGCGGTGGGCAGGGCCTGTGCCCAGGGTGCCCACCCAGCCCCACCGCTCGCCCTCTGCCCTGTCCGCTGGCCCTTCCCCACCCGAATCCGCTCAGGCCACACCCTTCACCATCGCCACGAACGGAGTCCATTTTCACCAAGTGCATCGTAGTGTATTTGGTGCTTTGAAAAGCACCCCTGAGGCCAACTTTTTAAAAAATACATCTTTATTGATGTCAGAGAGGAAGGGGGAGAGAGAGACACAGCAATGATGAGAGAGACTCACGGATCGGCCGCCTCCTGCACGCCCCCCACTGGGGTTGGAGCCTGCAACCCGGGCCTGTGCCCTGAGCGGGAATCCAGCCCTGACCTCTGGTTCATTGGTCACCGCTCAACCCTGAGCCACACCAGCTGGGCCCCAACGCTTACTCTTAAAGTGAGTAAAACAACGTGATCAGCAAACCGCCTAGCGATCAGGGAAATACACATTTTAATGGAAAAGACGTAGAAACTAAAAGAAGCCGCTTCGTGCTGAGTCTAACCCGCTCTGGCCGTCCGGCGGCCCCTCCCCACGGCGACCCCAGCACCCCCGGGGGTTAAAGTGGGTCGGCCACTGCAGGGCCTGGCTGGCCCTGCAGGCACGGGCTGAGCACCCAGGCCCCTGCCCCGGGGCCACAGGAAGTTAGGGTTTCCACCAGCCCGAAGCCGACCGGAGCGTGGCTGCATTGCAGGGGAAATCAAAGGGCACCTTGAGCCCTGGCGGCTTCCTCCGTGGTTAGAGCATCGGCTGCTGACCGAAGGTTCTCGGGTTTGGTTCCCGGTCAGGGGCACGGGCACCTGTTGGGGTTACAGGTTCGGTCCAGCCCTGGTCAGGGCACATGCGAGAGGCAACCAATCGATGTGTCTCTCACATCCATGCCCCCCCCCCCACTCTCTCTCTAAAAATCAACGGAAAAGGTATCCTTGGGTTGAAGATTAACAAAAAAAAAGCAAAACAAAACAAAAAAGTCATTTTAATCTTGAGGTGATGGTGAGGGCCCCGCACATCCGCAGGGCTCCTGGGAAGAACGGAGTCTGGGCCTGTGCGTGGGCCTGTCTCCCGCTGTCGTGTTCAAGGCCTTTGCTAAGGACAGCGAGTCGGCCCCCTCCAGCCCCCGCTGCGGCCACGGTGGTGAGAGCCAGGTCTCGGTACGAGGCAGGTCCTAGTAGAGGATGATCCAGAGGACCAGGCAGCAGGAGCCTGACCCCACCCCAGTCAGGGGCCCTCCTCCTGGCCCTGGGCCCCTGCCCTGCTGTCTCCATTGCCCTGATGTGCCCTGAGGAGACGCGGCTGGGGAGGGGCCAGGACAACCCGCAGCCTGAGGGCACTCGGCAGGACAGTGGGGGGCAGGGGGCCACCCCCAGTCTGGGCCTCAGGGTCCTGTCCACCCAGGGCACTGCCTCCAGGAAGCCCTCCGAGGCCCCAGCACCTCCCACCCCCCTCGCTGCCAGACTCCTGCCCCGCCCACCCAGGAAGTGACCTTTCATGGGGC